CACTTGGAATGAAGATCAAAGATTTTCCTCTCACGATTTAGCGTGTAAAGAAGGAAAGAGGAAGGGAGAATATGCTGGAAATTAACAAGTTTTAAGCAACCTTTATATGAAGAAAATGAGGGGTATTTATAGAAAAAAAATAAATGCTAAACTAATTTTAAGGAAAACTAATAATTTAGTAATATTTTATTAACTAATAATATAATATTTATTTAAGCATTTCTTTACATTAAAGAAATATAAGTTTCAATTGGCTAAAAAACTGCTAGTCATATTAATAAGTCAAAAAGTCTTCATATACAATCAAAATAATGCAACAAATGGCTAGTCAGCATGCATTATTAAAATCAGATAAGGTTTAACAAATCATTAAAAGTTTAAATTAGCTCTAATGTGGGTAATGTATGATAGTTCAATTTATGGTTGTTAGACTACTTGAACTATAACAACACACAAAAAAGGGTGAATTGATATTTTAAATTTTCTTTTTCAGAAATCTCTTCTTTGAAAAACTTAAACCAATTCACAACTATAACTTTAAAATAGATTTTCTCATGTGGAAGCGAATAATAAGAAAAATCAAATAAAATTTTTTTATATTGATTTTATAGAAAAAAAATAAAAATAGTTATTTTCATATTTTTATTTCTTTTTTTAACAAAATTTAAATCCAAAAACAATCACAATGTTTTTAACTCATATTTGTAAAAAGGTAAACATGCAAAAAAATAAAACACAAAAAAATCAAGTACTGAAAAATAAGAACAAATATATCAGATTTATAATGATTCGGCCAAACTTAATCTACATTCACTCCCTATAGTCCTCTCTGGATATTGCACTAAACCTTTTAGTGTCTCTTTTTTCCCCCCCACAATAAGGTAGAGAAGCCTTTCCAAAAATCTCTTCCACCAATTCAGTGCGGCGGAGTAGTTGAATCCCTTTCACTAATAATTTCGTGGAGTAGTTGAATCCCTTTCCCTAATAGTTTGAGGGAGCAATTGGTGGCCCCTTGACTCCAAGAGGTTCTTCCAAGAGTTTCCCTCAAGTAAAACCTTAACCCATAGAGGAAGAAGATGAATGTTGGCTTGAGTAACCAGGTGTAGACCCTCTCTCACACACTCCCTTGATCTCACAAGGCTATTATCGCTCTCTCTCAATAACAATTATCTCACCCTTGCTCAAAGCTCACTTTTCAAACTCCCTTTCATAGAAATCTTAAGCCCCTTCACCATCATAGACTTCTCCAAATAAAATTAAAGATATGTAAATAGTAGGTTCTAAGAAACCCCTACTTTTCAATTTAGTCGTCACTATTCGTATAGTATAATCTATTGATCATATAGTATAATTAGTTCAATTCTCCTTCAACAATACTATCTGATGAATAGTATACAAGATGATCAATTAAAAACTGTTAAATGGTCGTACTGTATGAATGAATAGCAACACAATATAATTAGTTTAATTAAAAATCTAATTGTATAGGACGAACACAAATTTTCTAGAGAGTAATCAGGTGAATTGGACAGTATAATTTTTAGATCGTACAAGATGAACCAAACTTCATCCAGAGATTCCTCCAGTAATTCATACAGTATGACTATGACATATGTATCGTATGGTATGATCTAAAATCAATTAGATCCGATTTGATTGCTTAATTAACTGACCTAATTAGGCAATTATTTAAAAGATCATACAATACAAAATGGTTTTTATAGTGTAAATAGTTTAAAATACAAAATTTAAATTTGCCTATTTTAGATAAGTTTGATTGGAAAGTGGGATTTTTAATTATAGTTGATCTTCCAGTAAGATGTGTTGTTCATACTATACGGATAGTTATATTACAAATTAATTTCTTTACTTTAAAATAAAATATTTTAATTAATTTATATTTTAGCTTATCGTATAGTACGATCAATAGAAAAATTATATATTTTTTGTTAAACTTTCCCTGTGTTTGTTTGCACAGTTACTATACTAACATACACATTTATAATACATTGATTCAAGAAAGATAAAAATAAATACTCTTACAAAATTCAATCCTAACTGCCTAATCTTGAGCACTGACCTTTTGGAGATGTTTGATGCATGTTGTACCTGAAATATTAGTACACGCAGAAAAAGAAATGCAATAATAAAAAGCAGGAGAAACTAAATAAATTCTAATAATATTTGTAATCATCAAAGTAAAAGCTCGAGCTCATGGATTGCAATAATGCAACCTATTATATTATATTTAAGAAATTTAAGAAATCTATCGGAATGAAAATTAAGCTACAATTCAATCATTATAATATTATGTTTTGTTAAAATAAAAACTTATGCATATTGTAATCTATTTAATAATAAATTAAATATTCATATCAAAATATGATGTAATTTAGATAAATTATTTATATATCAATAAAAATGTGTTAAAAAAATAATTTAAAATAAATACATGATAAAATTTTAACCATATAGGTTTATTTGTTATAAGTATCCAAATTACGTATCTTTTTATATTTCATAACTTTATGTAATTTATATGAAGCTCTTATTTTTTAAAAAATTGAGTTTATTATCCTTAATTAATATTATGTACTGCATATTAATAGGTACATTAGATATTGAGCAAAGTAAATCATGCAAGTGCATATCTATAGATCTCTAAGATGGTCCTAAGTTAATATAACTTGAATTATCATATATATAAACCTTCAAACTATCCATCTTGGTCCATCTTAAATTCTTACTGAATTTTTTATTGAACTTAGGTTGTGCAATCTACATCCCATATAAAAAATCATCTTGCACATCCATCAAACTCATGCACCTAAAACAATAAGCATACAAATTAGAACATCTAAGCATATATTTGTTATCATCAAAATCACTAGAATAGATCATGAAGCAAATAATGCCAACATTTTTTTCTAATTATTTTTATAAATCAAAGAAAATACTTAATAGCTTGAAATAAGCTTCTCAAGCTTGGTTTTATTGGCTAAGCTTCTACTTAATTTTCAATGAGTTTAGAAAACGTAGATAACACATATTCTTAAAGAACTTAGGATATGATTTGATTATTATACTAGCATATGTAGATGATATACTATTTGAAAGCAAAAATAAATAAATATTTTGGTCATGAATTTTCATCTTTGATGTCTAAAAATTTTGAGTGTCAAGAGAGAACTCGCAACAAAAAAATTACACATTCATTTGTCAAATCAAGTATGCAAACAAATTAGCTTAAATTTTTGATACGAAGATATTCAAATCAGGTAAAACCCCCATAAGTCCTTTAACAAAATTAGAATTAGAAGAATTATTTAAGTTTGTTGATCAAATGTTCACTTGTATACAAATTAATTTTTCACAAATAAATAAATAAAACCTCCTAGGCAAAAAACTCTCCTCTCTTACAAAATTTTCATTCACAATAATTCTTCTCTCTTGCATTACAAAGTGCAAATACTGTCTTACAAAGCATCCTCTTGAAAGTCAAGTTGAGAGTTTTCTCTTTTACATCTTCATCCTCCTCTAAGAAAAATAAATTCATCACAGTTTTGGAGTTGATTGATCCGAGCTTTGATTTTCACCTTTAATATATTGAGTAAGACATTTCTTATTCATCGTTTTTCTCATGATATGCTATCATGTTTGTTTAGTTGATAAATTTACTCTAATATATTGAGCTAATAATTTTCTTTTCTTGAATAATATTGAATACATTTTGAGATTTCGAAATCTTTTTTTAAGTTCATCATTACATTGCATAAACTTTTAATTTCAATTACAAAATAAATTTTCAATTATTCTTAATTATCAAAAAAATCATTGTGAGCAAATTTCATTTGCCATCCTATTGCTTTGTACAACTCATTTTTTAAACTTAATGCTAAATGATAAGTATAGAAAATTATACTGAGGAATTAAATAGAAAATGTGATAGAAATGAGAGAGGAATTTAAAAAAAAAAAAAAGTTAGAGAGAGAGAGAAGGGGAAAGGGAGAAAATGATTTCTCTACCTCATTTTTTGAAACTAAATGCTAAAAATGATAAGGACAGAAAATTGTAATGAAATTTTTGAAATGGAATACAAAATTGTGGCAATAATAAATTAAATGAAGGCTTTGACTATTAATCAAATGGTCTTTAACTTAAAATTTATATGTAAGTTTATCTTAATGACTCAAATGTTCCAAAAAAATATAGCATAGGTTATCAACAAGTAAAAACACATTCTATTGAAAAGAAATTAACATTTAGAACCAACATTCTCGAAGATGAAAAAATCACGTAGATAATCCATAAGCGCCACCTGTTCTATTTAATTTTCGGAAGTTCAAATTTACATGACACCCTTTCAATGCCTCATTTGCCAAATAAACAGAACAAAAAGGTAAGACAAGTTCCAGCAAAAATGAAATTAAAAAAAAAAAAAGCAATCATAAACATAACAAAGGAATGATGTCAGTTTGGTCAACTCAACTGTAAGTTTCGCCAAAAAAAATGTAGCCATATAAAGGTAAAGACATAAAATTCAAGATTTATACTTCTGAACAATTCAAAATTTATAGATGATGCTCCATAAAATAAAATAAAAATAAAATAAAGTGTATGGGCAGTGTATGGGCTTCATAAATTCACAAGAATACTTGAATGTTAGAGAAGATATCAATAGTTTAAGGAAATTGAACTCCCCAAGGATGGCTTCAAATAAAATGAGAGTAAAATATTTCAAATGCAGCGATTTTATAAAAATATAAATTAGATTTGAAGTAAAAGAAATGCTAAATAAAATTTTAGCTTATATGGAATGCACCATCTAGTATAATTTTGGTCCATTCATAACTCATTAGATTTTGGTGATTTTTAAATACATAATAATTTATTTGTCATTTTTGCTCGCCTCCATTGCCCCCAGCCACCGCTAGTAGTTGGCAATTGCCCTCCATTGATGCCCGCTCACCATCGGTGACCAGCTATCATCATATGTGAGCTTTTACACTAAATTCATTTCACTTGATGCCAAACAAGAGAAAAAATAATTACTCATATTTAGTTTACACTCAATTGAATATAATGCATTTTTACTTCGTATTTTTCAGCTAACCAAAGAGTCCCTAAAACTTCAGCTTCTTTTTATCGTAAAGTAGCTGCAAGAATTATCCGTAGTTATAGTACACAGGAAGAACTAAGAAAACATAAAGACTGAAAGGAAGCAGGAACGATTGAACACATAGAATGGCTAGTTGATGCGAATATTTAGCTCCTTTCGAGTACCAACTGCCTAACAAGCACAACAAAATCCATGAGCTACAAAATACCAAAAATCATCATATCAGATTTTGTCCTAAGGACTGAACTTTACAATGCATTTGCATTTCTTAAGATGAGGTGACGTTGAGGAACCCAATGACATCATTATGCAAAGTGTCTCTTGGTCTATAAATTACTAATGCGGATATACAATGAGATGAAACTTTGGCAGATAATAACTTATATGGCTTCTACTAGAAAGAAGATATATAAACATAGAAATATAAAAAATCATTTGCCAAACGAAAATCACGCCACTGTAATCAAATATGAGAAGAATTAGGCTTCGTTTGGGATGACTTTTTTACTACTTAACTTAAAGTAGTTTTTTAGTACAAAAAATAAAATTTTTGCACTAAAAAAACTACTTTAAAAACAGTAAAATAGTCGCCTCCAAACGAAGCCTTCATCACATGCAAACCAAATCAATAATTGGGTAACTAGAAGAAAAAAAATATCACCAAATAAAACATCTCATTTGTACAAGGAGAGGTAACCTCTCCAGAAAATTGTAGCCTTCCCGTTAAATCAATAAGGGAACAAGGAGTTGTACATCCAACCAAAAACCATTAATTTTATTTAAAAATGCTTAATTCAGTTCTCCATTCCTTCAACATTTTATAAATAAAAATTACCACTTATTACAATTTAAAAAAAAAAATAGTTCAGAAAATAAAAAGTCAACCATTAAATTCCAAAAGTTGCTAAAATTTGCATAGTAAAAGTTGCATGTAACTCATGCAAATGATAGATCGAGATAAGCCACCACAAAATTTGCTACAGAAACAGTTAAACCACAACGAACACCAAAAACAAGAAAACACCAGCCCAATGTTAATGGCAAATCAAAAAACTGTCAAAAACCACCACCAAAGCACCCAATAAAAAAAAAGTAATGCTGAAAATGGGGCAAACTGCAAATTGTACTAACACCTGCACCGCCTAAGCAAAATTGAAAGTGGAAAATCTTTCCAAAACAATTGTAAAACTTTAATAATCCGCCTCTAAAAAGAATTTGTTGAATTTAAATTTATCCATAGAAGACACATGATTTTACTGGTAAGCCGACTAGGTGAAATTTGGGTAGCTCCACTATCCAATTTGAGATGAAGGTGTGGGTAGCTCCACTATACACCAAAATTACCATGAAATGCTCTCTAATTTACCCCCTTGCTTTCATGGTGTGATTTCGGTAAATCCCACCACAAAATTCAAGAACACCACCGCCATATCCAAATGCAACTGTTCTGTCTACTCCAAGACATCCTCCCGCTCGTCCCTGCTCTCTTCTTCCCCTTCACAAAACATCTAGGGTAAATCTCTTGATTCTTGCACCTATGCCAAGGTGTAAATCTCTCATCGCACCTGAAGCATAACCCTTTCGCCCCCCTATCTTGCACTTATGCTTTTGTAAGGCGCTTGAAATTACCTCCATGATGAACTCCAGTGCTCTTCTCCTTTGGTGCTTCCCTCTAAAATAACATTATTTGGGTCCTCGAAGACAAGGTTGTAGAGGCATTTATGTCTCCCTAATGTTTCTCCTCCACCGTTTGTGCTAGCTCCATTGTCTCCCTCAGCGCTCTAGGCCTAAACACCCAGAGCTCAACTCTGATGTATTCCTCAAGGCCCTTCATAAAATTCCCTTCCAACCATTCCTTAGAAATTCCCCTCAGCCTACCTGAAAGCAGCTCGAACATCTCCCAATACTCCATGACAGTCCCCTCTTGAGTCAAGTCATAGAACTGCTTGTGGAGGTCCCCTTCACAAATAGCTCGGAAACGTTCCAACAAACAACCCTTAAATTCTCCCCAAGAATATATCGGATACTTAGCTTCTCTCCACTAAAATCAAGCTAGGGATTCTCCTTCTAAACATAATCCTGCCACCATGAGCTTTTCCCCCTTTGTCAGACCATTGATGGCAAAATAACACTCCGCCCATTACACCCAGCCCTGAGCATATTCCCCTTCAAGGATCGCCATCTTTAGCTTCCTTAATCTCGCATCCATCCCACAATAATTTCTCCCTCCATTGGTTCCTCCCGTGTAGTGGTGGTATGATTCTCTCCCTTCTTTCCTTAGCGGATTTCGACCCATGGTTCGTCCCAACCATGACTTCCTCCGATCCACCTTTCTTCCTGCTCAGGTGGTCTCCAAAAGGGGTAGGTCTCACCAATAATTTCTGCATCAAATTTACAGAAATGAGATTCTTTTGGTTATCGATATTGATGAAGGTGATCATTAACCAATATCATCAAATGAATAACTCCTCTCATTTGTCCTTTGGAGAATAAGCTCGAAGCTATATCCTTAAGCATTTCCATCAAAGATAAAGATAAATCTATATTTTCATTGGGGCACAACACATTATTATCCATAGCATCAATAGTTGATTTTCTTTCTTATTTTTCTTCCAATTATTTTGGAAATGTCTAGGAAAAATTTTCAAATATTTTACATTGGGGTGATCATTTATTTGGCAACTATGACAAAACATCCTTGAAAAATGATACCTTGCCATGAGTACTTTACACATGCAAAATGAAGTTGAAAATTGATCCATCCATGGATCAATTTTCTATGCATAAAATGTCATATCATGAGTGGGTTTTTCAATTTTTCTTTCACATTAGAAGGCCTAGTCCATCCTTTATTCATCATAGTCATATTCTCGTCATCTTCTCCCATATTACCCACATTTGTCTAAAAAGCTTCGATGTTAAGGTTATGGAAGTACTGTTAACCCATGAGCTTAAGCTTTTATTAAATGTTTTAACAATCACAAACATAATTTGATATACTAATTATCTGCTCATGTACTTATTATTTCTATTTGGTATCAAATCAAACACTTCTTTTATATACTCACCTGACATTATTTAGTATTTTTACATTAATTATGAATTAAAAGGTAATATAAAAATGTATAAATTCAAGCGGAGGTACATAACCCAAAATCTTATATACATAACCAAAGCTGTTGCAACTCGAGCTTATGAGTTTATATTTTTTATGATAACAAATATTGTGGCTCACTTTCTGTTGTCTACATGTATTTGCAATATATTTTTGTTTGTGTGTATACTAACTTTTCATGATTACGATGCACCATTCAAGGCTCAAGATTTGGTAGAACAAATTTTATTTGTAATTTTCTTTGGCAAGGTTTAAAATTGCATATTCGGGTATTGAGGCGTTTTTCGTTCGTGAGGCGAGGCGTAAGCCTCAAGGCGATTTGAGGCGTAAGCCTCAAAATCAAAAAATTGCGTAAACATAAAATAATAAATTTTGTATATACTAATGAGTAAATAATATATAAAACATAAAAATGCACCAGATAAATAGCAATGACATTAACATATCACATAAGAAGTTAGGAACTCACTAGTCATTAGCATTATCATCACTCATCAGTCATCACTAAGGGGGTCTTCATTTGAATCATCATTATGATGAGCTGCTCTCTCCTCTTCCCCCTCTCCTATAGAGTCCAATATCTCTCAATCAGCTTCTTTTTCCTCATTATTAGTTATCTTCCTCTTCCCTAAATAGTAAATATTTTTGAACAATATCATAATGAATAATAGTGTAATACATTAATAAAAGTTTAAGAAAAGAAAACTATATTATTTATATACCTTTTTTGATTTGTTCTTGAGTTGTGGTGGATGTGGATGCTTTAAGACCATCAAAGAAATCAACATTTAAATCTTCATCTTGTAATTCAGACGGCATCACTTCAACTTCATCATCTACAAACCACTCATCATCAGATGCCACATCATCGCAAAGCAAAGGATCTTCATCATCCATTAATCCTTTTTTCTTCAAATTTCTATCTCTGAGTCTCCTATTGTACATCATCGCATTACGAACGTATTCTATGCATTCTTAATGCGTACGTTGTGAGTTCGTTATGCGTATTGTATGCGTTCGTTATGCGTACTATGTTTAATTTATACGTATTATCATTTAATATGTAATTTTTTACTCAAACCAATATAAATAACATTTATACACAGAATTGAAAGATATATTCTTTAGTGGTTACATCATAAGTTAACATTTTATTCAAGTGGTCTCGCATTATATAGTAGAAATATGAATGTTGAGCAATAGTAAGTAATAAAGGCTCATAAAAAATCAACCTACCCTCTTATCCTCCCAACCATACCTGTCTAAAGGCTCATAAAATATATAATATAATTTTATAAATAAAATTTACTGCTTATGTGTGCGTGTATCATGCGTGCGATATGCGTACTCTTTGTGTTCGTAATGCGTATTTTGCGAGTTCCGTATGCGTATTTTATGCGTTCGTTGTGCGTACTATGTTTAAATAAACATTTATACACATAATCAGAATGAAAAACATTTATACACAGAAGCATTTATACACAGAATGAAAAACTGTTATTTTTACAACGTTCTACAAAGTATTTCATATGCAAATTCTGCCCTATACTTTGGCATGTCTTGTTGCCAACTTGTACTATCAGTCCAATCAGTGTTGCCTTCAAGAATTATTCTTTCCATATATTTACAGACATACATTCCACAATCAAAAGAGTTTTCCTGTTTTGGTATACCTTTAATGGTAGAAAGCTTCCATTTTCTGATATCACTATCAAAAGCTCCTTTCGAGTCAGAATATAGGGCTCTAAGCTGAAATATACATAGAGCAAGGATTAGTTCTGTAAATTTTTTAAAACTTGAAGAGTTCATGTTCATCTAATGACTTAAGTATCTAACAGACTAAGACTTACGATTTTTGGAACAACAAGCCTATTCACTTTGACGCGGTGGTCCAATGAGTCATAAAATTTCCACTTGTGTTCTTTCAGCAAACCAACCAGAAGGGTAATGTGATTGGAATCAATGATTGGTTGTAATAAAATGTTGTTTGAAAAAACAGAAAGCTCGGTTATATGATCGATTTGCAATTTGGACAATTTCTCCCTTTGTTATTCTGAAAGTGCAAGTGAGTAAATGTAAGAACTAAGAATGGATACAAAGTTACTAATCCAATAGTTAAACTGATAAATTGAATACTAAGTTACTAACTCAATAGATTGGAGAAATGTATAGAAATTTATGATACTTGTCTGGCATAAGGTTACACTTCTCATCTAAGAGATAGGCAAAAATATCTACATGTTCATTGCCTAAATAACTGTCGCTTAATAACTCATCAATCTCAGATCTGGTAATAAGAATGTTAATAACAAACAAGATACTATCGTCCCTGCAAAAAAAAAAATATTAAATACGCATTTCATAAGCATAACCCACGCATATCATACTCATAACACACGCATATCATACGTCTTGTTACAGTCTATGGTCACAAAGTGACTAGACAACCAATCCATCCCTAGGATCATATCAAACTCCTTTAATGGCAATAACATAAGATCTGCGCCCAAATTTCTATCACCTACAATCAACTCCACATGACACCCTTTGTTGGTTTCCAACTGACTCCCATTGGGCATCATAACAGATAAGGGTTTGAGCATAAATGAGGAAGATAAACCAACAGACTTAACAAATTCCTCCGAAATGAAAGAATGAGAGGCTCCCGTATCAAACAATACCTTAACAGGCTTGTTACAGACAAGGATCGTTCCTAAAAATCATGCATGTAACATAACATAAAGCTTATTTCACATAACAACATAAAGGAATTCATTGCCATTAACAAAATTCATACCTGTGATAACATCAGGAGAGTCTTTTGCTTCTTGAGGGGATAGACCATAGACTCTTGGCTGAACAGGTTGTCTAGCTTGGCCTTGACTTGGAGTTGATGCAGTAGACTCCACCACCCTAGGCCTTCCAACTGTTCTCTGAGGAGCACTACCTGTTCTGGCCTCTGGAGTAGACTTCTGTCCCAAGGTAGGGCAAAACTTTGCCATGTGCCCTGGCTGATGGCACCAAAAACATGTATTGGTGCCAGAAAGGCACTCTCCCCTATGAGCCCTTCCACACTTATTGCACATAGCAGATGGTGTGCTGCTCTCTGAAGTGTTGGGCTTGGGCTTCTTCCAATTTGGCCTTCCAGAATGAAAAGATTGTGCAGGCCTTGATCTATCTTCATACTTCCTCTTCTGGAAGTCTCTCCTCTTTTGAGTACTCTGAATATCCAGCTCAACCTTCCGTGCTTTATCAACTAATTTAGAGTAATCTTCAATCTCCAAAGCAACCAAAGGCTGTCTAAGGCTGTCCCTCAAGCCACAAAGGAAACGGTGGCATTTCTCTTCTGCATTAGGAATCAGATGAGAGGCATACCTAGATAGCATCGTGAATTCAGCCTCATACTCTGCAACAGTCTTATCTCCCTGTACCAATCTATTAAATTTGTCTTGCATTGATCTCCTGGCAGTCATTGGTACATACCAATCTCTAAATACTTTGACAAATTCCTCCCATGTGATTTGACTGCTAGATCTCCCAGTAAAAGTTTCTTCCAATTGTCTTCTCCACCATCTGTTTGCCTCCCCCTTGAAGGCATAAGTAGCTAAGGCTACCCTCCTATCCTGAGGGCATAGCATCCCCTCCAAAATCTTCTCAACTTCCATTAACCAGTCCTCTGCTTCTATAGCTCCACCTCCCTCAAATGATGGTGGCTTCATGTCCTGGAATAACTTTAAATACTTGTCAATTGGAGCACTTCCACTACCTCCAGCTTGAGTCTGAACATTTCTTATCATCTGTGTCATAGACGCCATCATTTGAGTGAAAGCATCCAAAGTAGCATTAATGCTACTGCCTTGAGGCTCTACTACTGTTGGTAATACTCTCCTGACCTCTCCAGTGTTGCCATTAGTGGCATCAGGTTCAGGTTCCTCAGCCCTAAAACACAAATTAACAAAACAATCTAAGCATTAAATAACACAAGCACCTTATATCTACCCTAACCTATAAGATCATCCTATTGGCTCTTTCATGAAAATCAATATCCTCAAATCCTTTGCTCTGATACCACTTCTGTCACGACCCGGCCCGGTTAGCTCGCGTAGGCGAGGCGGGAACAGAGGTCGGACGGTAGGTCAAGTATCTAAATTCCTAAATCTATCAATTCCCTAAATAAATCTCCAATATATTTTGAAAGAGCCACTATAACAATAAAGTTTGAAATCACATAAACATATAAGCAAACATATTCTTCGTCCTTACCTTTCTTCCGGAGCTCCTGCCCTACGATAAACAATGCCGCCCCTTCTACTCATTGAATAAAATTAAGCTCACCTGAAAATGTTAACAACTAACATTAAGCTAAAGCTCAGTAAGCAATACACAATTCTAAACTACAGTAAACAAGGAAACTGAATAATATGATAGATGCAAATTTCATATGAACATAACATAAAATGATTCCATACTAACATAGCATTAAACATATCATATCATAAACCATATCTTTCATTTTCCTTTCCATATTCATAACATTATACATGTCTTTCTCTTTTCGTATATAATACAACCGTCACAGGAGTCACCGTCTGTACCATAAAGGTACACCTTTACCATTTTCCTTTTCCATATCCTTTACCATTTTATCGTGCACGAGTACAGCGTCCCCAGCTAGTACCATAAGGGGGTGAACTCCATCCTTTCAACATACACATGCAAGCATTCAATATACATAAGCATATCATTTCATTCCATCTTATTCCTTATAACATATAAACCTTATCGTAAGATATCATAAATTGTACATGTAATTTGTATGATCATTCATTTGGTATGAGTAAAGAATTAAGATTGGAGCTATCAAATCATATAACATGTGAGAAAGCAAGAGATATTACTGAAATAAAGAACAGTGCATACTTACAGAAGTTTGGAAAATTGATTTCTTCACGCTAATCCTTCTTCCTTCGAGATTTCTTTAAAACACCTAAAAGATATAATTTCTTCTTCAAATACATTTATAATAAATCTAAATTAATGTTCCCATTCTATTTTTTTACAATCTACCCTAAGTTCTTCCTCTTCCTCTTTCCAAAAGATCACATAAAGTATATCATAATCTAAAAACTCATAATTTTTGTCTAATTACCTAATATTAATCAACATAACACTTTCTCCTTAATCTAAATTAATTTAAAATAATTCTATTTTCGGATTTACCTAAAACCCTAATTTTAGAAAACCTATTTTCATTATTTCCCTCAAATAAACATGTTATCCTCTCCCCCACACCTAAATCATAATTAAATATTTTCCATTTTCGGATTTAAATTAATTAAAAATTAGGAAAATAAGATCTTATAAGAAAAACTTAATTTCTTCTCTTAAAAACTCTCTTAGGACCCTTAGGAATAATATTTGCAAATGCACTTCCAAAAACTCCAACTTTAGAGAAAACCCTAATTTCCAAAATTCATATTTTTCAATAAAACACTTCACATTAGGGTTTAAAAACATTCTCTAACCCTTCCCTAAACTTTTGTCAAAGGAACCTTAAAGAAAACTCAAGTTTCCCTAAAACCCTAATTTCCTTACTCCACATTTTTTTTTAAGAAAAACATCATTCTTATGCACAAGATCATTTCTTAAACATATCCTAACATTTTCTTAAAGAAAAACAAAGTTTCCCCTCAAACCCTAGATTTTCATTTTAAGAAAACTTTGAGAGGAAAGGAGGAATACATAAGTAAAGCATACCTTAATCTTCCTCTTATTCTCCTCTACAATTTCCCTCAAAGCCGACCGCCGGAAACCACCGCCGGAGCAGCCACCCAAGCCTCCCGCCGCTCCTCTTCCGCGCGCCTGCTCTCCTTTTCGCGAACTCCTTCGGTTCGGCCGAATGAAAAGTGGGGAGGGGAGGGGAGGTTTACTCATATTAAAGATATAAGGTTTGCAAATGACCCTCTTGCCCTTACTTAAGTAATTTTGGTAGTTCATTTGATTAGGGGCAAAACCGGTATTATGAAACTTCTAAAATTATTACCTCTTAAAATAATCCAATTTAACTATAAGTTCTATATATCAATTTGATCAGAATTTTGCGTAGGATTTTCTAAAATTAAACCCGTCGAAATCCGACAACATTGAATTTTTCACTTAAAATTCGTCGCGGCGCTTTGAAAAGCGTGGGAGGTCTAAAACGGCATTTTCGGGTTTTCACACTCGTCACATCTGAAACAGATCCCCTTCGATCTCTTCTCCTGTAATTATGTTTCTTTGAGCTTCTTGAAGTTGTACCCAGGTCTTCCTCCAACAGTCTTCTCTTTCGAAGTCTTCCTAAGAGTACCAGGTGTTGGCTCCTTGCTTGCCAAAAAGGTGGTGGTCATCATGTATGAGCCTCCTGAACTGTTGCCTCCTACTTCTTTTTAGAAGTGCCTCTGCTCAAATTGACTGACAAGGTACTCAAATTGCTCACGGTACTCCATCACTGTCCCCTCATGCATCAAAGCGAAGAACTACTCATAGAAATCCCCTCCCCTACTAGTTTGAAAACGTTCCAACAGGCAATCCTTAAACTCCCTACAAATCCTTATTGGTCGTCTTGTATCCCTCCATTGATACCATGCTAAAGCTTTCCCTTCCAAGCACATCTCAGCTGCCGTCAGCTTCTCTTCCTCCGTCGACCTATTGACAGTAAAGTACCTTTCCACCCTGTAGATCCACCCATATGCACCATCTCCCTCAAAGATAGGGCATCTTCAATTTCCACACCGTCGAATCGCCTTTGTTCCCTCTATTCCCTTCATAATTTCTCCTTTCCCAAGGAGGTGGTTCCCCCCAAGTGTCTCAATCATCCCTTCTACGTTCATACCCAAACCTTTTATCATAAACCCACCTCCTCCCTTCAAATTCAGCACCCCTTCGATCATATTCAACCTCCTTTCAAATTCGGCACATCTTCGATCATAATCAAGTCCTCGCATTACCAATTCAACCCCTCTTCTTTCAAATTCAACATCCCTCCACTCATACCCAACCCCCTCACGTCTCTCCACATACGCTCTACCAGACTCCTTTATAGGAATAGGTCTTAAGGGAGTCATTTTTTCTATTCCCTCCAAAATCTCCACCTCTTGATCTTCTTTTCGTCTGATTAGCTTCGATTTTTTCCCACTTTCGTGGTTGTCGGAGCCTTCCCTCAACTCCGACGGCGATATTTGGGTTTGGCCCTCGAGCACTTTCTTAAACATCTCCTCCATGATGGAAATTTTTGAATCAAACTTATCATGAATGGCTGAAACATCTTTTTTTAAATCTGAAACTTGAGTTTAGATATTTGAAATTTCATATTTCATTTGTCCAATCTCCACTTTGAGGCGTTCCTCCAACACATCCATTTTCTTGGCCGTCATTGATACCTGAATTTTTGTAGAAATAAAAATCTTGACTTCAACCTTCAAAAACAACAACTTTCTTCTTCGAAATCCAAAAAAAAACCATTGAAATTCACCGAAACAGCCCACCAAAGATCTCCAAAACAACTCTGATACCAAATTGATAGGAAACACTTGTAGATCTCAAGTATTTCCTATCAATCTTCGTAAAGCAGCGAGAGTTCTCCACAAAAATCCACACACAATAGGTAATTTTTATTATTTGATGAAAGGGAAATGGAAAATACCAAGATACAATTAATCCTCTATTCGAGAGGAGGATCTTTCTCTCAAATCTCTAGACGCCGCTAGAGCCCAAAAAAACTAAGTGATCTCAAATTTCAACCAAATTCAAGATACCCTAACCCTAAGAAAACAAACTATTTAATGAATACAAATCAAAAGGAAATCCCTAAACAGTCCCTAAATTCAAATTTCCCTCCTAACTCCCTCAAAAATCCCTCCTAAACAGCTCACGCACGCCGTGCGTGCGTTCGGTGCGTACAGGAGGCGGAAAAGTCCACCTCTGTTCGCGTAAGCCGGTCCGATGGGACCTGCTGGACCGGTCTGATGGATCAGTCTAACAGTATTAGGGTACACATTTTAGGTAGAAAATTCAAATAGAAAATCATGAGAAAAATACACTCTAAAGAACTTTGACTCAAAGAAAGCTGATGGATCAATTAGTTTGAGTTAACCTAAGTGTATTCAAAATCAGACATCAAAATACGAATTGTCATATTCAATTATTGAGTCTTTTATTATTGTATTTTTCAAGTTTTAAAAATGTCAAGATAACCAGCACACACTACTACAAAATCAAGCACAAATTAAATCGAACATAAAAAAATTGTAATTAGTCTTAATTGATCATGCTACACAATTTTGATTGGATTATACGAATAGGCTCTTAAAATTTACTAAGCACTGATTGGCTTATACGAATAGGCTCAATTTTAAAATTATAGGATAAGTAATTTCGTTGAGGTTAGAATATGTATCATTATTAATGGAAATTGATGTTGATGTTTATTGTACAATCACAATTGTACTATATGATATACCTTATTTCTGGAAATATATTAAAATTATCTATTTACACGATCTACTTCTGCTTATCTAAATAAGTCGAAGCCTCAAAGGATGCTCTCATGCACACTTAAATGTATCAATATTCTTGCTTAAACATTACCAAATGCTTTGAAACATTTTAAATGGTATGTATTTAACTACAAGCATACTATACATGGAGTATATGCTGAATTTTTACCTAAATGATTTATGCAATCATATCATTGCAGATTTAACAAATAGAAAGTTTTGCTTTTTTTTCAGATTCCAAACAGATTGCAGCAAAAAAATGATATTACAAATGAAAGCCACTAAAATGTACTAGTAAAAGAAGCATGTACAAATAGATACCTAATTTGGTAACTACAGTTTGAAAATGAAGAAATAAAGACATTTTTTAAGAAAGCTGAGAATAAAAGATATTCATCTTAGAAATTCAAAAAATAATAATAATAATAATAAAGGATAAGTCAGCAACTAGTCAAACAAGAGGTACAGGCGAACATAATGCAGAAATTCATCAAAACTAGTTATGGCAGTAATACACTAATTCCCCTTCATGCTCATCAGCAATTGCACAATTCCATCGAAGGAGACCAAAGGACGTTACTCCTTCAATAAAAATAAAAAGAAAAAGAAATTTACCAACAAATGCGGTTTATGAATGCAGGCCTGCTGCCTTGTTCCTTTGACCAGTGACCATATATCAAGGAGAAGTCATTGAGCTAATGCATCTGCAACAAAGATCAATTTGGTCTGAAATCATTAACAAATCGAAACATGTTTTCTCAGGAAAAACGGACCAAATGGTACCAAGCAAATAGCACAAAGATCAAACCAGGATTATTAATTATGGTGGCAAAATTTTAAAAGCAATATTCAGAAGGCTGCATATTGCGTGTTTCACCAAATATAATCTTGTTTAGATAAACCAAATAGTCCAAAAGGGCCTATTTGGTTAAGATGAACCTGTGCTAAATTACTTAATTTTATCACCTAATGGCTCAGAAATGCAATAATGGGGGCAATTCAACATTTGAATAACTCTCAATCCAACAAAAAAGTTTAATTCTACTAGCCCACATCAAATTTAACCCACTTCTATCCTTGAGTTAAATGATGTGGAAACAATAGGATTAAACTTCTGTTGAACAGATTCATAATAAACAGTTTTATTGATAATTTCTATGGGGTTTAGAGCTTCATAAGTGATCCATGATCAATGACACATTAGTCCATGATAAAAATAGTTTTAATTATTCAAGAAAATAATGAATGAATATTAATAGGAAAAAATTCAAAATAGTCCCCTGAATATTCATATATTGCTAACTTAGTCTCAAAGTATCACATTTCTCCAATTTATTCTCTCGATTATACAGAATTAAGCTCAAATGATCCCTCAGAGGCAAATTTGGATCAATTCTATATAGTTGAGAGACTAAATTGAGATCAATTTTATATCTCAATTTTAATATATTGATAATTGAGGGAACATTTGTGATCAATTTTACATGATTGAGGGCTAAATTGTACTTTTTGACTAAATTGGCTACATAGGACTAGTCTATGAACTATTTTGAGCATTTTACCGAATGTCAATTGATTCAAGTTTACTGAGAAGTCATGTTTCTTAAGAAAATTAGTCCTTGATTAAAAACATACTAGCATTTTAATATTTAATCCATATATAACACAGAATATTAGCATCTGAATAGTATAATAACACACTCAATAAGATAATTGAAGCCTAAATAATAAGTAATTCATAACAGTGGGAGAATTATGTCCAAGAAATAAAATAATCCAAGACTAATGAAAAATAGTAAATGTGCCACATTATACAGAGCCTTCTATTTTCACACTATGCAAAAAAAAAAAAAAACTCGATTAGATTATAATATAATATCATCAAAACATAGTTTGCATAATCCCAAAATCTACAAGGATATTCCTCCTGGCCAACTTCAATTACCCATTAATTTTCTAAAGAGGCCCTCAGAACTTGAAAAAGACAATTTGAATCATACTTCTCTTAGTTTGGACCGTCGTTAGAAAAATGTTTCCAAATTTTAGTGCTTAAATTTCCATAGTTTCTACATCTCTGCAACAAATGCATACATAAAATTAACTGGTTAAATTACATTTGTTCTCCAATCCATCTTTTTTTCAACCTACTTAAAGCCACCACCCATTAATAGGAGCAAAGAATAATCTACCCAAATTCTCTGGCAATGTGTCTCGCTAGGGATCCCACAAGTGGTGGCTCAAGAAATCTGCACACTATCCACATGCACATCTACCTCTACCAATCCATGAATTGGCAGCAATCTTATGTGGATCTACTAAGATCCCTCATACTATGACTGAGAAAGGTTATGCTACTCGACCAAAAGTTGCACTTAGAGAAGTTGCTCTAAAGATGAATATACCATAAGGTATTGAACATGTCATCAAGCATTCTTGAGTACACCAGGATGTTACAAATGAACAAAATGACAAATCGATTTAGTTAGGAAGAAATACTTAATTCATTTTAAAAATGTGTAGAACTAAATTTTCTCATATTTCTATCATGAAATTTTAATTTTAAAATCATTTTAAATCTATGAAAATATTGGATCAAATTTAAAAAAAAAATTTATTTCCAAGTTTGATGACTATCAAACTCAATATCATATCGAAACATAATCCTTCAAGCCTACAACCACATATGGCTCCATAAAAGTAAAAAAAAAATTCAATAGCTTCAAGGCATCACTCATTTTCTCCTTTATTCATCTAAGTGCAGAATGAAAGTCAAAGAAATTGTCGATGGAGTGATAGGGGTTGGCAGTTATCTTGGTTGTTGCATATGAAGGCATTTCTCTATTGGATGGTCGATAATGACCACTAAAAGATCAAAAGTGATAGTTGAAAATCAGAGATCTCAAAGCTAAATTGATAATTATTACAAGGGCTCGTGATATATGAGGTGGTTCTACATAAAAAATGACAAGCTTTCCTCTATCTCTGGTGTGAATAGCTAATGGAGGAATCATGCTTAAATTTCGATGGGAATAAAAAAGAGAAAAAAGTATTACAGAGGTAAAAGTGAAAAAATATATATATTTAGGTAGGGAAATATATATTATTTTATATTCATATCTGCATGGTCATAAACATAGGTGGACCTCATCACATCATGTAAAGTCTCTTATGTTATTTTCTTGGTACTCTCATCGTAGATCATTTTTTTCTAGTATACATGTGTTCATTGCAATTGGGCTCGTGTTTTGCTCGTGTTTTGCTCCAGCAATTGGTATCAAAGCTAAGATAACATTAAATTCTATATGAAAAGTGAGAGCAATGGCTTACGAAGATAGGAAAGTGAGAATTGATCAATTAATGGTTGACTAATGGTATTGGAGAATATAGAGTAAGGATTACTTATAAGAAAGAATGTGACATATATCTCTATTTGAGTCAGCCAAAAACTATGAGCAAAAATGACCAGTAGAATCTCCTGGACAAATAGGTGTTGGGAATCTATCATTGATGAAGAATGTCACCTTCAACATATTGCATGAAAGAATTATAGCCAACATGATAGTTCTGACAGACATGTACGAGAAGCCTTCACGGATGACAGATATATATACTAAGAAAGTTCTTAGCCTCAAAATGATTGAAGGCGTTTCTGTAACAATGCATGTTAATAAGTTCAATTTGATTATAAGTCATTTCATCTCAGTTGATATTAACTTCAATGAAAAAGTTCATGCATTGAGTATATTTTAAATACTATCAAAAAGCTGGGCTAGAACTGTGAAAATTATCAACAGTACTTGCAGGTTTATTTAATTGTAACTCAATGATGTATGTAATCAAATCTTCAGTGAAGCATCATGAGACGAGAATTAGGAAAAGGCTCTTCTACTATGCTGAATCGTGAGAGCAGAAAAAGAGGTGCAAGAAGACGTATTGGAGGTAGATCTAAAGCTTAATTGAATAAAAACACAAAAGTTCAAAATGATGCATGCAAGCGATGGGTGAGATTGGCCAAAATGAAAAAGGTATTTTTACGTATCAACCTTTTATGTTGATACTTGGAAGATGATCAAGGATGCTATACTGATAGCACATTAAAATAAGGAAGATACTTTTTACATGATGTAAAATACCTGAACAATGAGAGCAATAGTTAAATATATTGTTTGTGATTCAAGAGGTGCAATGTTGGATAACTTTTTTGTCAAGTATGAACTTCCAAAAGACAAATGGGCCTTGCAAAGAAAGAAATATATCAGGATCAAAGAGCGCATTATAGTAAAATAGGGTTGTGATAAAAGATGACAGGTATTACCATAGATGGCCTTTCAACAAAAGCCTCAATCAACCTCAACAATTAATTAAGAAAGGGTAACAAAAAAAATTGATTATCTATATCACGACAATGTATAAGAAATTAATATTCAAACAAGAGATTATTAATATAAGTGAATTTAGATCTAATTTTATTTTGATTTTTAAATTTGGTGACTAGCAAACTCAAAATTTATTCATGTCTTATCATTTATATCTACAACCATATGTTTCTCTATAAAAGCAGTAGAAATCAATGGTTGCAATTCTTCTCCAACATTAATGCAGGTGTAGAGACACAGGCTGAAGAAGTGGCTAATGGAGTAATCAAAGTTTGATAATCATCTTGATTGGGTCATACATAAGCTTTTTTTTTTTTTTTTTTTGTCTGGTGTTTGGAAATTATCATCAAAATGCCAAATGCGACAGTTGAAAATTATAATCCTTCTCAAGAGAAAATTGATGATTGTCATAGGGACTAATGACTGTCAAAATGGTGCAACATAGGAGGTGGCAGGCTTTCCTTTCTCTCTGGTGAGAATAACTAATTGAGGAATTATATTCAAGTTTAAAAGAGAATATAAGAGATAAATGGAGGAACATTAATGAGATAAACGTGAGAAAAGTATTTGATTTAGCAAATACTTGTATGATGAATTATGCAGTGGTGGGATTTTCTTGCAAAATTCATAGGAGAAGTTTAAAATGATACCTAGTGTAGATCTGGAATTGATATAGTGAATTAAGGGAGTTTTGGATGGTTAATTTGATATTGGACTCAACTTAATCAAAAATGTCCAGAACAAATCAATTTTGAGAAAATAATTCCAGATCCCAAATTATATGATGGATTTTATAAATTCCACTTGAAAATGAAAGTGGACATCTTTAATAAGGTTTTTACCGATTTTTATAAATTTAGAATTTTTTTTTTTTTTTTGGAAAGTTTTTAATTGACTGGTCACAAAGGGTAAAAACTAGAAAACAAAAATTAGGATTTTGGATTTTTGAATTTTTGGTCAACACAAAATAGTAAAGCTAAAGGAAAAAAACTATGAGGAAATTGATCAATTAGTTGTATAGATCAATTCTGAAAATTTTCACAAGGTTTATATTAAGTTTGACCAACCAAATGCTTAAGAGAAACCAACTAGATTAGGATTTCCGTCACCCTCGGTCGATAAAGTAGAGAAAACGAGAGGGAAATGGGTTGGGACATCTAAAGAAAATTTAGATTCAAAACACTAAACATCAAGGCAATATTCCACATAAATTTATTAGAAAATTAAATATTAAAACTCACACAAAGATAAGCATAAGGGCACACTAAAATCTAGTGTAAGAAAAGCATGATCACATGCCCTTGGATCAAACCACCAAGCTTTCTCCC